TTTTTTTTTTTTTTTTTTTTTTTTGAGACAGAGTTTCACTCTTGTTACCCAGGCTGGAGTGCAATGGCACGATCTCGGCTCACCGCAACCTCCGCCTCCTGGGTTCAGGCAATTCTCCTGCCTCAGCCTCCTGAGTAGCTGGGATTACAGGCACGCACTACCATGCCCAGCTAATTTTTTGTATTTTTGGTAGAGACGGGGTTTCACCATGGTGACCAGGATGGTCTCGATCTCTTGACCTCGTGATCCACCGGCCTCGGCCTCCCAAAGAGCTGGGATTACAGGCTTGAGCCACCGTGCCCGGCCTCCTGGCCAATTTTTATATTTTTAGTAGAGACGGGGCTTCTCCATGTTGGTCAGGTTGCTCTCGAACTCTCAGCCTCAGGTCATCTGCCTGCCTCGGCCTCCCAAAGTGCTGGGATTACAGGTATGAACCACCATGCCTGGCCATTTTATTTTATTTTATTCTATTTTATTTTTTGAGATGGAGTCTCACTCTATTGCCCAGGCTGGAATGCAGTGGCACAATCTCAGCTCACTGCAACCTCCGCCTTACGGGTTTAAGCGATTCTCCCACCTCAGCCTCCCCAGCAGCGGAGACTACAGGTGTGCACCACCATGCCCAGCTCTTTTTTTTTTTTTTTTTTGAGATGGACTCTCTCTCTGTCACCCAGGATGGAGTGCGATGGTGCAATCGTGGCTCACTGCAACCTCTGACTCCCGGGTTCAAGCAATTCTCCTCCCTCAGCCTCCCAAATAACTGAGATTACAGGCACGCACCACTATGCCCAGCTAATTTTTGTTTTTTTGTATTTTAGTAGAGACGGGGTTTCACTGTGTTGCCCAGGCTAGTCTCTAACTCCTGACTTCAGGTGATCTGCTTGCCTCACCCTCTCAAAGTGCTGGGATTACAGGCGTGAGCCACCAAACCCGGCCAACTGTGTCTGGTTTTATTTATTTTTATTTTTTTTGAGACAGAGTCTCACTTTGTCACTCAGTTGGAGGGCAGTGGCACAATCGCGGCTCACTGCTACCTCCACCTCCCAGGTTCAGGCAATTCTTCTGCCTCAGCCTCCTGAGTAACTGGGATTATAGGCATGAGTCACCACACCGGGCCAATTTTTTGTATTGTTTAGTAGAGACAGGGTTTCACCACATTGGCCAGGCTGGTCTCGAACTCCTGACCTCAGGTGAGACAAGAGTCTTGCTCTGTCACCTAGCCTGGAGTGCAGTGTCACAATCTTGGCTCACTGCCACTTCCGTCTCCCAGGTTCAAGTGATTCTCCCGTCTCAGCCCCTCGAGTAGCTGGGATTACAGACATGTGCCACCATGTCTCACTACTTTTTGTATTTTTAGTAAAGGAGGGGTTTCACCATATTGGCCAGGCTAGTCTCAAAGGCCTGACCTCAGGTGATCAGCCTGCCTCGGCCTCCCACAGTGTTGGGATTACAGGCGTGAGCCACCATTCCCAGCCTCTAGCTTATTCTTAAAGACAAAAATCCCTAATGTGGCTTCCTGGTTCTTAGGTCCCAGCTCATCTTTCTCTATTGACCTCATTGCTGGCCCTCCTGGCCACATGGCAGGCTTTGTACACGCCATTCTCCCTCTTTAGGACACTCTTCCCCAGGTGAACTCCTATTCATCCGTTTCATCTTGGGGACAGCATCTCTTTTTTGGAGAGGCCTTCTCCGACCACCTCCAGTTTAAATGAAGCTCCCCCAAACAGACACTAGGTAACCTACTGTAGTAGGCTGAGAAATAGCTGCTATAGTTATCAGGTCCTAATTCCTGGAACCTTTCTTTGGATAAAGAGTAACATTTGTGGATGTGAGGAATGACTTTGGGATCGGGAGATTATCCTGGGTTATCAGGGTGGGCCCTAAATGCAGCCACATGCATCCTTCTAAGCGGGAGGCAGAGGGAGATGTGACACACACAGAGGAGAAGACAATGTGAACACAAAGCTGAAAGATTTGAGGATGTGCTGGCTTTGAAGATTGCAGCGATGTGACCACAAACCAAGGAATGCCAGTAGCCACCAGAAGCTGAGGAGGCAAGGAACCCATTCTGCCCTAGAGCCTCTGGAGAGAGGGAAGCTCTGCTAACACCCGAATTTTGGCCCAGTGGCTGGATGTGGTGGTTCATGCCTATAATCCCAGTGCTTTGGGAGGCTAAATTGGGCAGATTGCCTCAGGCCAGAAGTTCGAGACCAGCCTGGCCAACATGGTGAAACCCCATCTCTACTAATATACAAAAATTAGCTGGGCATGGTGGCAAGTGCCTATAATCCCAGCTACTTGGGAGGCTGAGGTGGGAGAACCACTTGAACCAGGGAGGCAGAGGTTACAGTGAGCCAAGATTGTGCCACTGTGCTCCGGCCTGGGCCACAGAGCAAGATTCCCTCTCAAAAAAGAATTTTTTTTTTTTTTTTTTGCCCAGTGATAACTGATTTTGACTTTAGGACTCCAGAATTGTAAGAAAATAAATTTCTCTGACTGGGCTCAGTGGCTCACATCTGTCATCCCAGAGCTTTGGGAGGCCGAGGGAGGATGGCTTGAGGCTAAGGGTTGCAGACCAGCCTTGGCAACACAGGGAGACCCCATCTCTATAAAAAATTACAAAATTAGCCAGGTGTCACGGGACACGACTGTAGTTGCAGCTACTCTGGAGGTTGAGGTGAGGGGAATGATTGAGCCCAGGAGGTCAGGGCTGCAGTAGGTCGTGATGGTGCTATTGCACTCCAGCCTGGGAACAGAGTGAGACCTTGTCTTCTTTTTTTTTTTTTTCCACAAAGATGGGGTTTCACAATGTTGGCCAGGCTGCTCTTGAACTCCTGACCTCAAGGGATCCACCCACCTTAGCTTCCCAAAGTGCTGTGATTACAGGTGTGAGCCATGACATCTGGTCTCAGCTAATTTTTGTCTTTTTTTCTACAGACAGGGTCTCATCATGTTGCCCAAGCTGGTTTCAAACTCCTGGGCTCAAGTGATTCACCTGCCTTGGCCTCCCAAAATGCTAGGATTATAGGTGTGAGGCACTGTGCCCAGCCTCTCATACCATTTTAAAATGTAAGGCCTCATAATGTGTTATAATATTTGTAATGATATGTTTATCTCTTTAAGGTCTGCTTCTTCTGCTAGGCTGAAATTTCTATGAGGACAGGGCCTGTGTCTGTTTTGTACACATCCTGGGGCCCGATACAGAGTAGGTGCTCAATAAATATTTGTCGATGAATGAAAGAGTGAGCGAGTGAGTGAGTACATGAACAAGGGCCTTCTCTCAGTGATGTCTCAAGCTCCTCTTAGGAAAAAGTTCACACTTGGCTCCTTTCTTTTCCCTAGCTTAGCTCTGAGCTCGAAGTGGGTATTTATGGAATCCTGATTAAGTGGTAAGGAATATAAATAATTGAGAATATCTGTTTTTTCTCTCTTCTAGGCTCCGGTCTGCCCTGTGCCCTGGAAATAGGAGGTACTGAATAAAGATTTGTTAAGTGAATAGTACAGAGTCTGGTCCTCCGACAAGGGACAAGGAGGTATGGGGATGGCATTTCAGCCTAGCACATGAGGCCCTGAGAATCGAATAAACACTGACTCCCCGACCAGCCATCAGATTTTAAGAGCATGCAGAAGCCAGCTCTGAGCTCAACCAGGCTGTGCATGTTTCAAATTCCTGGGAGCCAAGGCTCAGGGAGAAAGAGGGACTTGCTTGAGGTCACCCAGGATGTTGGCAGAACCAGGGTGAGGCTGCGCAGCTCCCAATTCAGTCCTTTCCCCTGTTGAGTGTTCTCCCCAGCACCCGCAGCTGCCTTCCAGGTAAGAAGAGACAGGAAAAGGAGGCCTGGATGCCTAGAGATTTTCCACTTCTAGCAAGAACATTGTCAAGCAAGAGTTCAACCTACCCATTTCACAGATGCAGTAACTGAGGTGTTGTGAGGCTGCAGGCCTCGCCTCACAGAGAGTTTATAAAGACTAGAAGCCCAGGCCAGGTGACCCCCGTGTGAAGCTTTTCCTATATTTATGTACTATTTCTCTACTATTTCTTGACCAGCCTAGAGTGAATCTCACCTCCTCAAATGATATGGTATGAATGTTTGTCCCTGCCAAATCTCATATTGAAATATGATTTCCATTGCCGGAGGTGAGGCCTGGCAGAAAGCGATTGGATCATGGAGGCAGACTCCTCATGAATGGATTAGCACCATCCTCTTAGTTCATGTAAGATCTGGTTGTTTCAAAGAGTCTGGGACTTCCCCCTTCTCTCTCATGCTCCCACTCTTGCCCTATGATGCACCTGCTCCCCTTTGCCTTTCATCATGATTTAAGCTTTCTGAGGCTTCACCAGAAGGAGTTGCTGGCATTACGCTTCTTGTACAGTCTGCAGAATTGTAAGCCAATTAAAACTCGTTTTAAAATAAATTACCCAGCCTCAGGTATTTCTTTATAGCAATTTGAAAAAGGCTTAACACAGAAAATTGGTAGCCTGGCCAACATGGTGAAACCCTGTCTCTACTAAAAATGCAAAAAACAGACATAGTGGCACCCCTGTAATCTTGGCTACTCGAGAGGCTGTGGTGGGAGAATTGCTTGGACCTGGAAGGCGGAGGCTGCATGAGCCAAGATTGTGCCACTGTACTCTAGCCTGGGTGACACAGCGAGACCTTGTCTCAAAAAAGAAAAAAGGAAACAAAAAAACCCACAGAAAATTGGTACCAGAGGCGGGGCGTGGTGGCTCATGCCTATGATCCCAGCTACTTGTGGGGCCGAGACAGGAGAATCACTTGAACCCAGGAGGTATAGGTTTTAGAGAGCCGAGATCATGCCATTGCACTACAGCCTGGGTGACAAGAGTGAAACTTCATGTCAAAAGAGAAAAAATACATACAGAGAGAGAAAGTTGGTCCCAGGAGAGGGTTGTTCTATAAAGATACCTGAACATGTGGAATTGACTTTGGAACTGGGCAACAGGCTGAAGTTGAAAGAATTTGAAGGGGTCAGAAGAAGGCAGTAAGATGAGAAGACAAATGATTGTGACCAAAATTCTGATAGCAATATGGACAGTGAAGGCCGGGCTGACAAGGTCTAAGATAGAAATGATGAAGTTATTAGGAACCAGAGTAAAGGTCACCCATTTATGACCTAGCAAAGAACTTGGCTGCGTTGTGTCCATGTCTGAGGGCTCGTTGAAAGTTTGAACTGAAGAGTGATGACCTCTAGTATCTGGTGGAAGAAATTGCTAAGGAGAAAAGCATTCAAGATGTGGTCTGGCTGCTTCTAATAACCTAAATGAGACATGGGAGCAAATAAATAACTAAAGTTGAAATTTATATTTAAAAGAGAAGCAGAGCATAAAAGTTTGGAAAATTTGCAGCCTGGCCCAGTGGTGGAGAAAGAATCCAAGTAGGCTGTGGAATAACCACTTGCCACAGTGATTAACATGACTAAAAGGCAGCCAGGTGTCAACATCCAAGACAGTGGGAAAGAGGCCTCAAAATCATTTCAGAAGCCTTGTGGAAAGCCCCTCCCATCACAGGTCCTTAGGCCTTGGAGGAAAGAATGATTTTGTGGGCCAGGCTCAGGGTACCAATGCCCTGCACCACCTCCAGAGGCTACTCCCCTCATCCTCACTGCTCCAGTTACAGCCATGGCTCAAAGGGCCCTAGGTACAGCTTGGGCTGCCACTTCAGAAGGCACAAGGCATAAGTCTTGGTGGCTTCTACATGCTGTTAAGCCCGCAGGTGCACAGAATACAAGAGTGAAGGAGGCTTGGCAGCTTCCTCCTAGATTTCAGAAGATGTATAGAAAAGCTAGGGTACCCAGGCAGACGCCTGCTGCAGGGGTAGAGCCCCACAGAGAAACTACTTGGGCAATGCTGAGGGGAAATGTGGGGTTGGAGCCCCCACACAGAGTCCCCAACAGGGCACTGCCTAGTGGAGCTGCAGGGAGGGGGACACCACCTCCAGACCCCAGAATTGTAGACCCACTGGTAGCTTGCAACCTCAGCATGGAAAACCCATAGGCATTCAACTTCAACCCACAAGAACAACCACATGGGCTACGTCCAGGAAAGCCACAGGGTGGGGCTGCCCAAGGCTTTAGAATCCAATCCCTTACACTACTGTCTGGGACATGGAGTCAAAGATTACTTTGGAGCTTTCAGATTTAATGCCCACCCTGCTGGGTTTCAGACTTGCATGGGGCCTATTACCTCTTTCTTTTGGTGAATTTTTCCCTCTTGGAACAAGAATGTTTACCCAATGCCTGTACCATCTCATAGGTGGAAGGAACTTGACCTTGAGTCTCAGATGAGACTTTGGACTTTAGAGTCCGGGACTTTTGAGTTAAGGCTGGAACAAGTTAAGACTTTGAGGTGCTATTACAAAGGCATGGTCATATTTTGAAATGTGAGAAGGACATGAGATATGGGGGGCCAGAAGTGGAATTATATGAATATTTGTCCCTTCCAAATCTCATGTTGAAATGTGATTCCCAATGTTGGAGGTGGGGCCTGGTGGGAAGTAATTAGATCATGAGGGCTGATACCTCATGAATGGCTTAGCATCATCCCTTTGGTAAGGAGTGAATTCTCACTCAGTTAGTTCATGCAAGATTGTTTAAAACAGTCTGGGGCCAGGGGTGGTGGCTCACACCTGTAATTCCAGAACTTTGGGAGGCCAAGGCGGGCAGATCATTCGAGGTCAGGAGTTCAGGACCAGCCTGCCCAACATGGTGAAACCCTGTCTCTACTAAAAAAACACAAAAAATTAGCCAGGCGTGGTGGTGTGCACTTGTAGTTCTAGCTACTCAGGAGGCTGAGGCACGAGAATCGCTTAAACCCAGGAGGTGGAGGTTGCAGTGAGCTGAGATTGCACCACTGCACTCCAGCCTGGGCAACAGATTGAGACTCTGTCTCAAAAATAAATAGAGTCTGGGACCTCCCCCTTTTCACTCTCTCTCCTACTCTCACCATGGGAGGCACCTGCTTCCCCTTCCCCTTTCACCATGATTGTAAGCTTCCTGAGGCTTCACCAGAAGCAGATGCCAGCACTATGCTTCTTTTATAACCCGCAGAACTGTGAGCCAATTAAACTTGCTTTTTGTTTTTTTGAGACAGTCTTGCTCTGTTGCTGAGACTGGATTGCAGTAGTGTGATCATGGCTTTCTGCAACCTGCTCAATCATTTCTCTTGCTTCAGCCTCCTGAGTAGCGGAGACTACAGGTGCCTGCCACCACCTGGCTTATTTTAATATTTTTAGCAGAGATGAAGTTTCACCATGTTGGCCAGGCTGGTCTCAAACTCCTGGCCTCAAGTGATCTGCCCGCCTCTGCCTCCCAAAGTCCTGGGTTACAGGCCCGAGCCACCACGCCCAGCCTATTTTTTAAATAAGTTAGCCAGCCTCGGGTCTTTCTTTTCTTTCTTTCTTTCTTTCTTTCTTTCTTTCTTTCTTTCTTTCTTTCTTTCTTTCTTTCTTTCTTTCTTTCTTTCTTCTTTCTTTTTCTTTTTTTCTTTCTTCTTTCTTTCTTTCTCTCTTTCTTTCTTTCTTTCTCTCTCTCTCTCTCTCTCTCTCTCTTTCTTTCTTTCTTTCTTTCTTTCTTTCTTTTTTGAGTGGCTCTGAAAAGAGCCTTTGGATTGTCAGCAGCTGGGAGGGGCTCACTTGGAGCTGGTGTATTTGGTGACGGCTTTGGTGCCTTCCGACACTGCGTGCTTGGCCAGCTCCCCAGGCAGCAACAGGCGCACAGCCGTCTGGATCTCTCTGGAGGTGATGGTCAAGCGCTTGTTGTAATGTGCCAGGCGGGAGGCCTTGCCCGCAATGCGCTCGAAGATGTCGTTGACGAAGGAGTTCATGATGCCCGTGGCCTTGGAGGAGATGCCGGTGTCGGGGTGGACCTGCTTCAGCACCTTGTACACGTAGATGGAGTAGCTCTCCTTGGGGCTGCGCTTGCGCTTCTTGCCGTCCTTCTTCTGCGCCTTGGTCACCGCCTTCTTGGAGCCCTTTTTTGGGGCCAGAGCGGACTTAACCGGGTCAGGCATGGCGGAGGACAGTGAAAGAGCACTCGAGAAACAAAGAATGAGGACGAGCTCAAAGAATCGCCTCAGGTATTTCTTTATGGCAGTGCAAAAATAGCCTAACACACCAGATTTAGGATTTATTGTTTACACTTTCTTCACATGTGGGCGGTTCAAGGTGCCTGAGAAATCTGCTTGGCTGATCATGCTGGTCCTTCAGATAAAGAAACAGGAATTTCAGAGCATCCCAGAGTCTAGTCCAGGGTCACTGATCAACCACCATCCCGGCCATTGTGCAGCTACCTGCAGTTTAGTTAGGGCCTCCAGCAGGGCAGGCAGAGGAGGTGAGACACAGCCCAGGAACAAGGGATTGATGCAGTTTAGGGATCCCAAGGTCAGGGACGCTTTCTTCCACATTGTGTAGCCAGAACCTTGGACTCACTTAGCAGTTCTCAAACTTTTTGGTCTTGGAGCCTCTTTATACTCTCAAAATTATTGAGGACCCCAAAAAGTTTTTGTTCATATGGATTACATCTATCAACATTGACTGTATTAGAAATTAAAGCTGAGGGCCAGGAGCGGTGGCTCATGCCTGTAATCCCAGCACTTTGAAAGTCCGAGACGGGTCGACCACTTGAGGTCAGGAGTTTAAGACCACCTGGCCAACACTGTGAAATCCTGTCTCTACTAAAAATACAAAAGTTAGGCTGGGTGCGGTGGCTCACGTCTGTAATCCCAGCACTTTGGGAGACCGAGGTGGGCGGATCACAAGGTCAGGAGTTTGAGACCAGCCTGACCAACATGGTGAAACTCTACTGAGTTTCACCTGACTAACATGGTGAGTCTCTACTAAAAATACAAAAATTAGCCGGGTGTGGTGTCACACACCTGTAATCCCAGCTACTTGGGAGACTGAGGCGGAAGAATCACTTGAACCCAGGAGCAGAGGTTGCAGTGAGCCCAGAGTGTGCCATTGCACTCCAGCCTGGGCGACAGAATGAGACTCCATCTCAAAAAACAAAAACAAAAGTTAGCTGGGAATTGTGGTACATACCTGTAATCCCAGATACTCGGGAGGCTGAGGCAGGAGAATTGCTTGAACCCAGGAAGTGGATGTTGCAGCCAAGTGCTCAACCTCTCTGGGCCTCAAATATCTAATCTGGAAAATGTGTAATAGGATGTTTACATTACCGGGTCCTTAGGAGAATTGAATATTGGGATCTTGAGCCAAGATCGCACCACTGCACTCCCGCCTGGGCAACAGTGCGAGGCTGTGTCTCAAAAACCAAACAAACAGAAAAACCCAATTGAGAAATTTCATAAATATTAATTAATGTAAAAGTAACAACAGACATTACACATGAGCATAAACCATCTATTTTATGAAAAATAACCATATTTTCAA